GGCGCCGCGCGACGTCGCGCGAGTCGTCCGCGCCCCGCGGCCCGCGGTCCCTCCTCGACCGGCTCTGCCTCGCGGGCGAGGACCTCGACGACCCCTTCCCGGCGGACGCGCGGAGCCGGAGCCGGAGCTCGAACGTGGAGACGGACGACGGCGACGACGCGGGCCCCCGGCCGTCGCGGTCGTCGAAGGCGCGGCGGCGCCGCGCGCGGCGGCTCTACGACGAGGACGTGGACTACTCGCTCAAGCCGCAGACCAACGACGCCCTGCGCCGGGAACTGCTCTACTACGTCACGTCGGGCATCCGCCAGGCCGCGCGCGCGTCCGCGAACTCGTGCGCGGGCGGAGGCCGGCGGCCGTCGACGCCGCGGCCGAGCGACGCGTCGCTGTCGGCGCCCGACGGCGACCGGCCCATCAACCTGAAGCGCCGCGACGTCGGCGCGCCCATCGCGCTGTCCCTGGCCAAGCTGCTCCAGCTCTTCTTCTGGGACGACGCGCTCGACGGCGTCGCGGGCGCGGCGACGCGGCGGCGGCCGCGCGGCGCGTCGGGCGCGGGCGACGCCGCGCCCAAGGGCCCGGCCGAGCGGCCGCGGACCATCGACGAGGACGCGTCGTCCGAGGCGTCGACGGTGCTCGGCGCCGTGGAGACGAAGAAGACGCGCATCGACGACGACGCCGCGGCGCCGCGCGGCGCGCCGCCGAGCGACGGCGGCTGGAGCGACCGCGACTCGAGCCAGCGCCACTCGTCCTGGTCCACGCAGCACGCCGACGCCGCCGACTTCCGCGCGTCCCTGCTCCGGAGCGACGCGGGCGCCGCGGACGACGACGGCGACGGCGGCGACCGGGGCGGGAAAAGAGCGCGACATTCCCAACTTCAAAGGCTCCTCTCTCGGCCGTTGTCCACTCGTTTCGGCTGATTTTTGGACGAGCGATCATCTCTTGGAACGGTCTCGAAGCGTGCATGCTTTTCACGGAACGCGCGCGCGCGGCACGCTCACGTTGAAGCGACGTTGAATCTCTCTTTTCCCGCCCAGGCGACGACGACGCGTCGCGGGCGGGCTCCGTCGCGCCGCGCGCGGGGTCCGGGTCCGTGCTCGGCGCCCTCGCGCGGCGCTTCCTCGCGCGCGACGAGCCGGGCCGCGCCGTGTCCGCGGCGGGCCGCTCCGGCCGCGACCGCCGCGCGGACAGCGAGAGCCTCGCGGCGCGGTCCACGGCCGCGCCGTCGCTCGCGCCCGTCGTCGAGGAGGGCTACGACGCCGGCGGCGACGGCGCGGCCATCGTCTTCGTGGACTACAAGCCGCGGACCTTCGCGCGCGTCCGCGACCGCTTCGGCGTGCGCCTCGAGGAGTACGCGAACTCGTTCCGGTCGACGCAGAAGGAGCGCTTCACCGAGGGCGGCTCGTCCGACGCCTTCTTCTTCTACAGCGGCGACGAGCGCTTCATGGTCAAGTCCTGCACGCGCCACGAGTTCGACAGCCTCGTCGACATGGCCGACGGCTACGCGGCCTACATGTGCGAGCCGGCGAACGGGGCCACGTTCGTCGTGCGGCTCCTGGGCGCGCACTGCCTGCGGCTCTACGAGATGGCCTTCTACTTCCTGGTCATGGAGAACGTGCTCTGGATGGAGGACGCGCGCGGCGCGCGCGTCGACGCCGTCTGCGACGGCGCGGGAAAAGAGCGCGACGTGCCCAGCTTCGACGGCGCCCCGTCTCGGCCGCGTTCCGCTCGTTTCGGCTGATGTTGGACGAGCGTCATCTCTCGGAACG